CTCATCATCCAAAGCTTAATATAGTTTTTTTTAAATGGTGTGCTTTTTTCCGGACCTCTCCTTGTTTTTATAAGTTTCTGGCGATTTGCCTCCATTCTTCAGTTGTTTTTCTCTTCAACGATCTATTAAATTTGATTTGAAATATATGCTTTGATCTCATATTAAGGTCCAATAACAGTGTTATGTTTCTATTCGAAATGATATATTCTGCGAAGACCGAGTCTAGTAACAGGTCACGACCGTACCAATCATGAAATCTCTAATGTTCTAGTTGAGAATCTGAATCAAATGACCTGTGAATTCGGAGCTTTCACGAGACTAATTCGTATATGAGAAAGATAAAAATCCGGAAAAATGGCGATAAGTGAGGCCCATTAGTCGAATTATGGGCTTACGGGTCGGGTAAAAAGAAAACGGGTCGATTCAAGAGAAACCCTCGGGTGAGTGGTTAACCCTCTCTTAAACCCCCAATCACCATTTCAAGGTTTGCGTCTTCCTCTGTCTCTGTGGTTCCGATCAATTTAACTCCCAAATGGCTTCCGTAGCTCTTCGAAACCCTAGCTCGAACCGTCTTCTTCCGTTCTCTTCTCAGATCTATCTACGTTGTGGTGGTTCGATCCCTTCGTCTTCCTCGATCTCACATTTCGACGGAGGAGATGATCGCTGTTCTTCAAATTACGCGACCTCGTGGTGGAGATCAATGGCTACTTTCACCAGAACGTGAGTTCTTTCTTCTGGGTTTTATCGGAATTTTAGTTTGATTAGAATTAGTTCTCTGTTTTCAAATTTTGTTTGTTTTTTGGCAGGAAACCTCATGTAAATGTTGGAACAATTGGACACGTTGATCATGGGAAGACTACTTTAACTGCTGCAATCACAAAGGTTGCTTTTTTATATAGTTGCAATCACTTCCAAATTACTGCAAAAACATGACGAACATTAGATTTTTAAAAACTGTATAGGTGTTGGCTGAAGAAGGTAACGCTAAGGCTGTTGCGTTTGATGAAATTGATAAAGCTCCTGAAGAGAAGAAGAGAGGAATTACAATTGCAACGGTCTGCATTTTATCTTGTTTGCCTTTATATTTCCATTCTTCAGTAGAATGAAAGGTGGTTTTTACTTGGATAGTGCTTGGTTTTTGTAGGCTCATGTAGAGTATGAGACTGCTAAGCGTCATTATGCTCATGTCGATTGCCCTGGACACGCTGATTATGTTAAAGTAAGATATTTTCATTCTTATCTGTGTCGGAGCTGTTTCCTGTAATGAGATTCGGGAAAATAATATGGTATTCTCATAAGCTTGTGGAGTAACATACATCAGTTTGTGGATTTTTTTATTTTGTTTTTGAAAGAATTTGATTAACATTTGAATCTCATTACTTGAGTTGGTATATTTCAGAATATGATTACTGGAGCTGCACAAATGGATGGTGCAATTCTTGTGGTTTCAGGTGCAGACGGACCCATGCCACAGACAAAGGAACATATTCTACTTGCACGTCAGGTTCGCATTATTACAGTCTGAACACCTGAAGCTACTCAAAATAAGTTAGAAATGGGCTACAATTTTAATTATGCAATTAACCACAGGTTGGTGTTCCCTCGCTTGTGTGCTTCCTGAACAAAGTTGATATGGTGGATGATGAAGAGTTACTGGAGCTTGTCGAGATGGAACTACGTGGTTTGTCCAAATTTCTTATGTCATGATTTTTCTAACGATGTACGAGTTTGCTTACATCAACCGTTTTGTTTGCCAGAACTTCTCAGCTTCTACAAGTTTCCTGGGGATGATATTCCCATCATACGAGGATCTGCCCTGTGTGCATTGCAGGGTACAAACGAAGAAATTGGACGAAAAGCCATATTGAAGCTTATGGATGCTGTAGATGAATATATACCTGACCCTGTTCGTGTGCTCGATAAACCTTTCTTGATGCCAGTTGAAGATGTTTTCTCAATTCAGGTATAGTACTCTACATCCCCCTGTTGTTTCTTTTTTTCATTCACTCGAATGTTTTTTTGAAACATCATGACTGATATATTTCTTATTTCTTGAAAGGGACGTGGAACTGTTGCAACCGGCCGTATTGAACAGGGAACCATTAAAGTAGGTGAAGAAGTGGAGATATTGGGGTTAAGTCAGGTGAGTTGGTGCTTTCTGTTATTACGATTAAACCGTTGTTCTTGCAATTTATCTTAAGCCTGATTACGAGATTTGATTTACAGGGACCTCCACTGAAATCCACGGTGACTGGTGTTGAAATGTTCAAGAAAATTTTGAGTAATGGACAGGTAAAGAAAAATTTGAGACCTTTTTCGTAGAAATTTTATAGGCATGTGATATTTGATAAAACCTTGGTTTTCAAATGTATTAGGCTGGTGACAACGTAGGACTTCTGTTACGTGGGCTAAAGAGAGAAGACATCCAGCGTGGAATGGTAAGCTCAGGATGCTTGTGATTTAGGAGAGTGATGAGACCAATCTTACTGAAATTAACTTCTTTGTTTTTTTAGGTGATTGCTAAGCCTGGTTCTTGCAAGACTGCGAAGAAGTTTGAAGCGGAGATTTACGTGCTCGAAAAGGAGGAAGGTGGACGTCATAAGCCTTTTGTCTCTAACTACATGCCTCAGTTTTATCTGAGGACCGCAGATGTTACCGGAAAAGTACAATTGCCTGAAAATGTGAAGATGGTTAAGCCCGGTGAAACTGTCACTGCAGTTTTCGAGCTACTCGTCCCTGTCCCACTTGAGAAAGGTTAGATTCTCCCCCTTTCAATAATAAAGTTGGAGTTTCTTCAGCTGTTCTTGAGTGATTCAAGTTGTTGTTTCTATATTGTGATTTTAACAGGTCAAAGATTTGCTCTAAGGGAAGGAGGTAGAACAATTGGAGCTGGTGTGGTAGCAAAAGTCATGAGCTAAGTTGCTATAGAGGTTCCATGTTCTTCAAGAAAACACATAATTGCCAGTTTGTTCTCTAGCATCTAAAGATTCATCTCTCATGAGATTTCTACTACTCTGATATTTAAGTTACAAGATCAAATAACAGAGAGATTCGTGTTTAGTTCTCAAGTGAACTATAAATAAATAAAAAAGCTCTTTTCCGCTCTAAACCCTCACAAAAATCGCCTTTTCAACGTTCTCACATTCACAAATTAACACTCAAAAGCCCTCAATGGGAGTTAAAAGCTCGACTCCAAATCATCTCTGATTCTTCTAAGTGCGACCAAACCTAAGTGCGACCATGATGATAACTGTTGCAGCTCTGAAGTAAACATCTTTGATTCTTCTTTCCACTCTATTTGTGATTTCTTCTTCTTTGATTGCTTTCCTATTGACATCAACAATGGTTTCTCTGAGTCTAACCACCGACCATGAAAGCAATACCAAACTCAAACTAAGTGCACCGTCAAAGACTTCATCTGCGCAAAAGAAAACTCGTCTAGAAGCAACACTACAGACCACAGAGAAGAACACAGCGATACCGGTTCCAGCAAAACCGATTGACAACCGAGTCAAAAGCTCCGAGAGGTCTCCACATGATTTCTTTAGAGATTGCAATGTGATTTGTCTATGTTGTTCACTGCCTAGCATCAAAGAGGTAAGGCTCTCACATGCATAAAGATGGTTTCTTCTGTGGAGATCATTATCTCTATCTCTTATCTTCGGATTCTGTTTCTTTGGTGAAGGCTTGACTCTAGTTTTCACCTCCTCGTGTCCGGTCTCTGTAAACCACATAATCCGTTCATGTCAATCGACAAAAACCATTAAAAAAATTTGGTAAAATCAGCATCAAACTGAGACACACACGTACCATGAACATGTCTAGGCTTCATCATGGTGGAGTCAAACTCTACAAAGTGATTAGATTTGCTCCTCCAAGAACAAAAAGGCTTCCATGGCTCCAAGTGTTCTAGCTTCAGTTTAAAGGAGCTTTGTGGTTTGGTCTCATGTCTTCTTCCTCCAGGATTATTCACCAGGTAATAAGCCCGGTTCTGCTGAATCATTCATAGATATAAAAATCAAACAAGAGGAGATAAAAACAGAGGAAGTAACCAAAAAAAAAAAACTGACCTTGATGATTTCGTTGCTTCCTAGCTCTTGAAGAAGACTAAACCCAAGTTTTGAATAGCTATGAGAAGCCATTAAGCAAAAGTTTTGATTAATCCAACCTGAGAAAAAAAAACACAAAGCTTTATCGTCATCAATCACATATACTGTATATGCGTCAGATATATTATTAGATTAGTGTAAATCTTGTTTTTTCCGACTTTTGCTCGTGTGACTTTAAAATAAATTACCTTTTGGGGCCTATATTTACTTGAATTAGCAAGAGCATACGGAAACTTTTGAATAATTACATAAATACTGCTTTTTTGTTTCATATATTCGAAGTTAACCCAAATAAAGATCATTACTTCATTAGGGTACTCTACTCTCGAGAGAAAGTTCTAAAGTCTCTCAACTCGAGCAAAAATTTCAATTGAATTGCGAGCTTAGGAAGGAATCGGCAGAGAAAAAAATGGTAAATTTGTTTACTTTCTTCGTCTTTTTCCGAATTCGAGTGTTGGGATTCTTTGTTTGGATCCACTAGTTATAGGGTTTGGTTTTCGCTGATGATTTAGGGTTTTTGGTGATGGGTTTTTGAGATTTGTTTGTTATCTGGTGCAGTTGTTCTTTTCTTACTTCAAGGATTTGGTTGGACAAGAAGTGACGGTTGAGCTGAAGAACGATTTAGCCATAAGAGGGACTCTTCACTCAGTTGATCAGTATCTGAATATCAAGCTTGAGAACACTAGAGTTGTTGATCAGGACAAGTACCCTCACATGGTAACTTCTTCTTCTTTCAAACGATTTTCTTTAAGTTTTGTGGAATTTAGGGTTTATTGGTGGAATTCTTGTTTTCTTTGTTGTGTGTTTGCTTGAATTGCTGTATTTGGTGGTTTATTCAGTAGCAAAAAGTGTGATTTTGATTTCTTGTGTTGAATTATCTTTGAGATTTAACTAGTTAAGCTTAGTTCTTGCTGCAAAATATCACTTATGAAACTGATGAAATTGAAAGGCTAATGTTTGGCTCTGGATAATGTGTTAAACTCATCAATCTTTCTTGTTTTTTTCCCAGTTTTATTTTCTTTGGGATGTGATCTTCTGTCTGTTTATATTTCGTTCTTTTACTATGAACCAAAGTCGAGAAGCTTTTAGGTTATATTGATTCCATTTAGAAACGCAAAGGGACAATCTAAATTGATAACTTTGTAGCTATTTTGGTGCACATTGACAAAATTTTATCAAGATCGCTGCTTGTATACTTCAATTTGTTTGTGTAGCCATTTGAGGCTTTCAAGTTTACTCAGATTTGCAATTTGTTTTGCGGAATCATATTCAATGTTTTTATCTTAATATCGGTGTCTTTAGCACTCAATTTCTTCATCTTGTCTTGATCATAGAGCAACATTTTTCCTCACGGTTTTGTTCTGCTGATTTTTTGCTTATGGTTTTTCTCTGCCGAATTATGCAGCTTTCAGTGAGAAACTGTTTCATCAGAGGATCAGTGGTAAGGTACGTGCAGTTACCTCCTGATGGAGTCGATGTTGATTTACTTCACGATGCCGCTAGAAGAGAAGCTAGAGGTGGCTAATTCTACCAATCCGTTGTATCTCTCAAACTTAATCTCTTGATTAACAAGACTTGATACTTTTTCAAATTTTCGTGTAATGGCTTGATCTGGAATGAATCTTTGGTTCCATTATCTTTATCAACGGATAATCTGTTTTCTCTTAAATCTTTTATGAAAACTTTTAAAAGTCTACAAAGAAACGCCTTTACTCTGTCATTACTTTAGTTTCTTCTCTCTAAGATAAAGCAAAGAGAGGAACAACATAAAGACTCATTAAGAGGAACTTAGATAAAGCAAAAGGAGTAATTGTCTGCATAACTAGTGTATTGCGTCATAGGATTAGCATCCGTGAATGGTCTGATTTGCCAATAGGGAGGAAAAAAAGGTGGAGCCATAGGCGGATATGGTGACATATGACCATTAAACATCAGGGGTCGAGCCATGAATTGGTATTGGTATGGTTGAATTGGACGACCACCACCACACATTGGACCACGACCACCATATGGTCCATACATTGGTGGTCTCGAGAATGGTGGATAACGGCCTCTCGGGCCTGCGGATATTGGCCACAGGTGCGAAGGATTGCTTCCACCGTGGTACATCATCGGCCTAGCGGTGAAACCATTTTTCTCGCTTAACAAGTTCTTATTACCATTACCCTTCTCTTTCTTTGTACTTGTGTGTTGCCATGTGAGGATGTTCTTCTTCTTATCCTTCTGTTCTGAAGTTCCATGAGATCCTTTTTCCTCTTTGGACTCTGTTTTCGGATTTTCATTCTCTGAAGCTTTCAGTTTCTGTTTCTCATCCTCTTTATCAGACTCATCTGTTCATCAGAAAGTGAGAAACTTTCAGATTCGTGAAAATAAGTAAGAAAACTTCTGATTGTGTAAAAAAGAAAGTCAC